TATCTCTCTTTTCTATGACCCATCCTTATTGATTTCCCACTGAGGTAACCACTATCCTGAATATTATGATAATTATTTTTTTCTTTCAATTCTTCATTTTTTGTTTTAGGTGTATCATATAAATTTAAAATATATTCCTAGGGGAAGGGGACATATTTAAAAGCTTCACCTTTTAGGTATTTAAATGGTATTAAAAACGTTTAACTTTCAAACTTTGTTCCTGAAGAAGTTAGTTCTGTTCCTCATCATAGCTATAATTATTTAGACCAATAAATTAAATTATAAAATTCATGATCGGTTCTCTTATTCTAGATTGTAAAAGAGGGGAGAAATGATGACAGACAGACACACACACACACACACACACACACACACACACACACACGGACAGAATTTGCTCAGTTACAAATGCTTGAGAAATAGCACCATCTTTATTCCTTCCAGTAGTTCTGCGCTTCCATTGGAGATCATTTTCTCTAGCTTTTTTGTTTGTAGTTGTATTTATTTTGTCTTAGAATGTTTTCATATTTCAGTACATTTGAAGATATCATTCCATTATCTTCTGATTTCTGTAGATTCTGTTGACAAATTAGCCATAAATGTTATTCCTTTTTAAAACTACTGTGTCCCTTTTCTCTTTGCTTTTGGTGTTTATTATTTTATCTATATTAGTCCTGCTTGGTGTTTGGTGAACTTGAATATGTTGATTAATATCCTCTATTGGTGTCTGTAATGCTCTTTAAAATTCTAGCCTCTTCCTATTGCCTAATTCCAAAGCTACATCTACATTTTTAGGTATTTGTTACAGCAATAGCCCACTTCAAGGTACCAAAATCTGTTACTAGGTTTCTATTGCTGCTGTTACAAATTACCACAGATTTAGTGGCTTAAAACAGTACAAATATCTTATAATTCTGGAGTTCAGAAGTCTGAAATAAGTCAAACTGGGCTAAAATCAAGGAGTCAGTAGGATTGTTTTCATTTTAGAGTATCTAATGGAGAATCTGTTTCCTAGCCTCTTCCAGCTTCTAGAAGCCACCTACATTCCACGGCTCATGGCCCCTTCTTTAAAGACAGCAGCATAGCATCTTCAAGTCTCTGACCCTGACCTTTTCATCCTTCCAAGGGATTAGCAAAAAGTGGACCAGCTACAGCCTTGGCTTTCCGTCCAGAGTACACCAATCTGACAATGAACCTACTACTTTTAATATCTTCCGTAGTCTGGACAGGTTGAAAATTTCCCAAATTATCAAGTCCTGGTTCTTTTTTGCTTAACGGTTCTCTTTCAATCTCTCCTTCCACTACAAACAGTAAGAATCCAGGTTATATCTTCAATACTTTGCTTAGGAATCGCCTCAGCTATTGTTACAAGTTCATTGTTACAAGAAGATGACTTGGATAAGCTTTCTGCTATTGTATAACAATAATCTCCTCTCCCCTAGTTTCCAGGAATATATTCATTATTTCTTTCTGAGCTCTCATTGGCAGTTTGCTAACAGCAGTTTTCTACCACCAGCCTGCTCACCATGATTTAAGTATTCCCTAAGCAATATGTGTTTTCTCTCCCATGGTCCTTACTTCCTTCAGAGTTCTTAGTAGCAGTGTTATAAGTCCTTATACAGAGTGTTATGGAATCAAGTATCTGTAGAAGACAAGGCTTTGGGAGACCAAAAAGATGTTGAAATGGAAAATTATGGTGAAAATAAAGACTATTGGGACTAGGGGGTGTGCTTCTTTATTCCGATTGCATTGGAGAATAGGAAAGAAACGATTATAACACCAAAAGCACTAGCAACATCAAACTAAAAAGCTTCTGCATGAAGGAAACAATTAAGAAAATAAAAAGACAACCTACAGAATGAGAGAAAGTACTTGCAAACCATATAGCAGATAAGGGGTTGCTATCCAAAATACATAAAGCATTCATACAACTCAACAGCAAACAAACAAAAATACAATCTGATAAAAAAAAAATAGGGAGAGAAACTAAATAGACATATTTCCAAAGAAAAGTTTAAATTGGTACATGAAAAGATACTGGATATCACTAATTATCAGGGAATTGAAAATTATCACAATATGTCAGTTCACACTTGTTAAGATGGCTAATATTTTAAATCTATGTTTATAGAGTATTTATTAGGTAAGTAAACAAATAAGATCATATTACCTATGGGGATTCCCCTCCTTAACTTCACTGTAAGGAAGTTATGGATAATGCTGGTTTATTTTGCTTGTTCCTCAGATACTGGCGATAGAATTAACCCTGGGCAAATTGCTTACATTTCTTCGAGGAGCTGCTCAATTCCAGATGAGAGCTATGGTTGTCTGTCTTCAAACATTCCTGCATTGGAATTGATGGCTTTATACGTGGCAGCTGCCATGCATGATTATGATCACCCAGGGCGGACAAATGCATTTTTAGTGGCTACAAATGCCCCCCAGGTAGGAAATACTTTTTCAGAAAGTTTAAAGAGGGTTTGTGAAAATTTACAACCATTCTGTATATCCTTTTATAAATCATCCTTCAGTTCAATCATATGGCCATTCCATCTACATTGTAATTAATTGGTTATTAACACATGGCATTGACGTGATGTGATCTGAAGAATTAGGAGGAAACGAATCACCTTCTTCCATGAAAAAAACAAAACATTGAAGAGTGACTCACTGTTTTTATGAAATTCTGGAGTTCTTGTTGTAAATATTTTTGTCTTTGATCAAATCGGTAAGTTCCTGACTAGATATAAGATTTACTCTTCCTTCTGGCAAGGTCCTTATATGGCTAAAAACTATAATGATGGAGAACTATTATTTTTGTTGTTGACCTTTTTTACCTCAAAGACATGCCTTAATACTCAGGCTCTTAATCTCTTAACTCTGATTAGTGTGTGAAAAATTCACCTAGTACCACATTATTTTTGTATTCATTACAGCTGATAAAGTGCAAGATTCCTTTATGGTCACAATTTGCATAAGAGGTAGGAATTCTCAACAAATGGATACTGTAATTGTAATAGCTTTAAACATTAGGACTTGGAACCAAGTACTTGGTTTTAAGTAGAATTAGTGTGGGTGTTTATTTAGGCTGGCGATTCCTGAAATGTCATCTTTGTATTTCTAACTGCGTGACTTACAGAGGATAGTCAATGATTGTTTGCTGAATTTATCTTTTTCACTTTTCACTCTACATTTGAACTTCAGTTCTGATTCTTTCATTTTCTGTAGCTGTTCTCTGTATTCCTTTTCTCCTTTCCATCTCTTTACATATTCTCATTTTAAAATATAGGGGGTGGATTCTCTGGCCAGAACA